CGAGGCAGTATATTCATAACGCACTGATCATTCTAAAAGAATGATTCACTATCAGTTGATACATCTGCACGCAGGTTTTTCCACTCATACGTGGTTCTTGGAAAGTCCAACACCTTCTCTGTACTTGGTCCTACATTTTATTTCACGTATCCTTTTACTATGATCCGTCCTGCTTAGGATGCAACGGGGTGTTTTGAGATGCTTATCGTTTATTCCAGCTAAATCGCAACATGGTTAATAAAGAAGCTTCAGCCTGCTTTTCTTACGCCTTTTATCGAGAGTTTCTAGTCCTCCGTGTCGCTAGTAGCGTGCAGTGCAGGCGAAGGCAACGCCAGGCGAGGGGAGAAAAAGAAAGCACTAGGAGGGCTGGGGAGGGAGAGAGAAACCTTCTTTCCTCTCTAGCGTTTCTAGCGCTCTTCCTTTCTCTCTTCCCCTGGCCTTGCCTTCGCCTGCACTGTACACAACTAGTGGCACACGGAGTATAGATTTGATTCTTCCCAAACACCTTCTCAACGCTATTTTCGCAGCAGGGCCGCAAACAAGTGTGTGTGTGTGTGAACAGGCGAGCGCGGTGTTTGCTCGTCCTCTCCCTGGCCGGCCTTATCGGCTGCGAAGGCCGCTGCCACCAACAACCCGCTATCGCACGAGGAGAGAGCATCCGCCACGATCAGCGGACAAATATTGTGCAGCTCCTCGCATCGGGAATCGCGCCTCGGTTACCTCGGTGGCAGCCCGATCGCATCCCTGGCGCCCGCTCAACATCGTTTACCCTCGAGCCGACAGCGCGGGGAAAGCTACCTGCTCGCTGGACCGGTCGCACGCCTTGGTTTCTCCACGTGACCGGGCTCCCGCCCAAACCCGCACCCAAGGAGAGAGAGAGCGGGGTCATGTGACCAAAGGAAGTCGTTTGATTGGTCCGGCGAGCGCCTCTAGCTTCCATTGCACTGGTAGCTTAGGGGTGAAGGGAGTATAATTTCTAGGTCGAAAACATTTTCCCGGCCGACTGGTCCCCCCCTCTCTGTGCGCGCGGCAGGCCCCATAAACAGGTCCGAACGGCTTTCGCCCTCCGTCGACACATTTCGGCATCCTAGTTACGCGATGACCCCGAGCACGGCGGACGGAGTCGGCCACGGCCCCACCAGGACTGGGCTACATCATAGCCCACCAGGACTGGGATCTGATATAGCCCAGTTCTGGTGGACTATATCATATTCCAGTCCCACAGGGACTGGGCTACGTTAAAGTCCTAAGGTCCCACCAGGACTGGCCTAAGCTACAGTCTTAAAACTCTAGGAGGACTGGGCTAGGTCCCACTAGGAGTGGGCTACGCTAAAATCCATCGATTTTTCATTTTAGAAGAGGGAGGTTTCGTAGATCGCTTTGGCCGTCCCGCAACGCTCTCCGCAACTCACTATACGGTACCCCGAACTCTACAGTCAAGGCCACCGGCACGCAGGCGCAGCAGCGGCTTCTTCGTTGCGGAGGGGAAACGCGGTTGACGAAGGGCCATACACAGGCCCAAAAGGGTTTTCAGTTCATTCTACCGCTCTGCGTCGCCGCTCGCTTCCTTGAAATCCTGCGCCGTCACGAAGTTGGCGCTTCGAAGAATTTGGTACCCGAGGTCTATTATTAAGGCGAAAGCCTTATATGTCTCATCGTTCAGTCGAGCTTCAAAGTCCTTGAGCGAAAACACGTCGGGGACACGAAGGGTACCAAAACGATTACGTGCAATCTGCGAATATAAATATTCCTCAGAAAAAAACTTTTCGCTTTAGTCCCTCAGCTGGCGTCGAACCAGCGACCTTTCGTTCCGTAAAACCTTTCGCTCCGTAAACTTAAAGTGAAACGAAGAGGCTCTCGCCTCTTCGTTTCACTTTAAGTCCAGTCGCAGCCAATGCCACGAGCCGAATCACACAGATTTGAAAACGCAACGTTGTTATGCTCTTCCTGTTTGTGCGTGTTTTGTCATCGCTAAACTATCACCCACAGGGAAGGTTCAGTGACTTGAGCTTTTAATATCTGTGTTCGTGGTTGTACGTGCTCGCGCCTTCGACTGCGCTCGAACATATGATGAAACGAAGTCCGTAGTTACGCGGGTTCCGATATGCCGAAGTCACCGTCGCTACCGGACTACATTTACGGCTCACGTACCGTCGCCAAATGTCTTGTCGGAGATGTTTCGCAGTACCGAGGCGGTGGGAACTAAGAGGCGGACGTGATCTGCCAGAGACAGAGCAATAGAGAGTTTCCTCCATGGCCCAGTCACACCAGCGTCGGTCTTTTACCTTGGGCAATATACGCCTGTGAGCCCGTTTAGTGATGTCAGCGGAAGAAATTGCCTCTCAGCCCGTCTAGTTGTGAAAGTTGTGGTGTGTCATTGGGAGTTCCCAGTACAGCCAACGGTAGTATTTGTTTTCGAGCCTTTAGAGTGATGTCAGCAGTAATACTTGCCTCTGCGCTACCGGCGACTAGTGTATCAACCTGTCTTGTCATGACAGCATTACTTGGCTTCGAGGATGTCTATTGATATCTCAGCAGTACATGTTTAAAGCCAAATGATGCTGTCATAACTAGACAGGCCTGTCTACTTTTGGCAGCATTATTTGGCTTCAAGCGCATCTATTGGCACCTTCAGAAGTACTTGCATTTGAGTGTGTCTAGTTAAGGCATCAATAGCACGCCATTATGTATTATTTTATTTGCAGGAGACTGCAGGCCAACATTTTGGACCAAGCAAGAGTGGATGAAATGTTCAGGACCATATGGTGACGGCAGTAAAAGGATTTGTCTTCAGGCTCGTCTAAAGATGCCAGCAGTTGTAGTTGTTTCAACGTCTATCTAGTGACATCAGCAGTAGTACCTGCCTTTGAGAAAGTCGAGTAGTATCCTATATGTGTCTTTGAACCGGTTGGTGACACCAGCGGTACTAATCATGCCACATGAGCCTTCTATGGCTTGGGCAGACCTGAATCTGTACTGCTTCTTTCTATGAATATATCATTCGTGCTTGATCGTGCCTAGTGATGCCCACTTTGTTGTAGTGTTTGTCTTTGAGTCCATCTCAGTGATATTTGCTTTTGAGCCTGTCTATAGTCTGTAGCAGGCAGGTTTAGAATAGCAGCACAAGCCCCTCCTCAAAGCTCTCTCCTTGTCATGATTGGATAGGGGGCGAGTAGAGCAAGGGGGGCAAGCTTCCACTTGCTCCATTCGGTCCCTATCCAGGGTTCGCTCTGCTCAAGTGGAAATGGTGGAGGGCTTGTGAGAGAAGTAATGCGGTAGAAATAAAGTTCAGCAATGCGGATTGTGTTGTCTCGTTCTTACTCTCGTCCCTGTCTTGAAGCGCTATCACGTTTTTAAAGTTGTGAGAGGAGGTTGTCTCACTATTCTTATTTAGATACACGTTCATATACCTCGAAGACCCGTTTCCAGGTATTACACGGGGGAAGGGTTTAAATACCAGAAGAATGGTTAGTCAGTCTTAACCTGCAACAAACTACAGTGAGATCAGCGGTAGTGTCTGTCTTCGAGCCCGTGATGTGGTACTTTCCCCTACTCAGGGATGTCTGTGAGATGTGCGAGCTTTTGCACACGCTTTATGAACACAAGCTCGATGGACTGAATACATGAGGAGACCCAGAGCAATGCTCGCTGATCTTACGCTATTGAAAGCCTGCAGTGCCAAGGGTGTGAGTTGCTAGTGTCTTGATAGTAGAAGGGGGAGGGATGTTTTGCACCTACCCTGGAACATGGTGTGGTAAACTACGGCAGCAGCCCAGACATACTCACCTGGTAGCAAAATAGCACCTGATTGGAGCAACTGTTTCTTGTAAAGAGTTCTGTACACCTAATGTTTAGTCGACTGACCAGCTGTGTCGACTAAGCACACCCTAGAGCCGCAGTCGAACTCCTAATTCATCATACACATGTTTCTTCCTTGGAGCACTGTCCTCATGCAAAAACGGCATGCAGACATGTCAAACATGCTTGGAACATGCGTGAGGTATGTCCACAGATGTCATCATGCCTGCAGCGAGCACTTCTGGATGATGTACGAGCATGCGTCTTTACGTGTCGCATCGAACCTAATACTCCTCATACATCATACAAAGAGTTAAGATTGACCCGCAGAGTCGACTAAGCACCCTTGTTTGTCGCATCGAACCGCAAAGTCGACCTCACCAAGACACCGTGTGTATTCAACCGGAGAAATAAAAAAACACGCTGAATCAACCGACCTTGCACAAATCGATAGAGCGCCGTTCACGTAAGTACTACGCAAAAAATAGGACTCGACAGGCGTACAACGTGGACTGGCAGCGATAAGTCGCCCTTATGTAAATGACGACGTAATCCGGCTTGGGGACACGGGAGCTGGTTTATCGTCGACTGTCGCGAGGAGGAGGGGCGGCTTACAGACGCGATTTTCGGCACAATAAATTCGTCGCCGGCGCCGCAGCAGCAGCAGCCGCCGGGGCCCACCGGTCGCCACACCGCCGCCGGTTTTTTCCTTTAGGCAACAGGTTTTCCTGCACTGACTGTTTTCGACCGTCCGCGCCGACAGATTGCGGTTGCTTTGTTTTTGCCCGTTTGCTTTTTCTCTTTCGTTGTTCTTTCCGACGGGGAGGAAATTCCGACAGAGGTTGGACGCCTGCCCGTACGCGTGAACCGCGATCGGTCGTGTTCAGAGTTGTAAATCGCCTATCGGGAGAAAAAGAAAAATTAAGAAAATAACAAGGGATGAAGCAAGCGGATACGATTTCTTCCGCAATTTTTTTTTTTTTTTTTGAACAGCGTCAACAAACGAGCGCAGCACTGTACAATACATAACCTACAACCTAAATAAGCAGAAATAATTTTAAAAAAAAATGGCAGTTATTAAAGGTATCGTCTCCGTATTTAAATAAATACGTATATTAAAACGCGTGTTTCTGCGCTTACAAGCTTCGTATGTATCGGGTAAACGCGTGCGACAAATCATACGGTCGAGAAGTTCGGCTTACTTTTCGGATAACGTCTCCGTTGGCTGCGGTCGTTTCCTCGTGGTGGTGGCCGTTGGGCTGCTGACCGCCGTCCGCCGGAGTCCGGATGTAGCGCACGTTATCCTGCGTTCCTCGGGGCACAATCTTGCGGTCCTTGTACCAGGCGTCCGCCGCACTGTCCACCACCAAAAGCTTGGTCTCATCGGGCACGGACTTGATTCGCTCGACCACCTGTTTGTGGTTCTCGTTGGCGATGTTGACGCCGTTCACTTCGACGATCCGATCGCCCTCGAGCATCCCCGCCAGTTCGGCGGGGCTGTGCGGGTCCACTTTGCCGATGAACTGTCCCGGCTTGGACTTTTCGGCGTGGAGGTTGAAGCCGTAGCCTTCGAAGGAAGCGATCTTGACGAGGTGGCAAAGCCGCGGCGCCGGGGCGTCGGGCGGTAGCACGTCTGAAGTCGTAGACATCGCCGGCGGTGTGTCGGAAGCTCGGCCGCTCTTGTCGAACCGGGAGAGAAGATCGCAGCGACGTTACGGTGCAACTAGACAATCTGCCGGCTGTGACGGGCCGCACATCAGCTGCACTCTCGGAAAGGCGCGGGGGGTAAAGAAACAAGAAGCAAAACGCAGCAGCGGACCGCCCGAATAAAAAGGGAATCACGTGAACGTCTGCGCTATTTCCCCGTCCGCTGCAAGTGGGCGACCGGTAGTGCGGATTGCGGACGACCCGCGGCGCTGGCGGCGCGACGACGCTCGACGCCTCGCGGCTGGAATGCGCAACGCTGGGATTGCGAAATCCGATTCACGGAAGGAAAACACGCGTTTCTTATTTACGGCGGCGGCGTGTCTTTTTCCGCCTGGTTTGCGGTGATTTGGGTTGTTGGCTGCGCTGCGGCTTCGGTGACTGGGTGGAATTTTATCCGTTGATGTCTGGCTTTGTTAAAAAAATATCTAAGGGGCGATCAAAATGTTTGCAGGTTGCAGATAATTCCGAAATTTGTCGGTCAGACTAGACTAGAATTAGAATAATCTGAACCTCTTGCTCGAAAAAAATGTTTGGAAAAATTGAATTTACAAATTATAGATTTAAGGGTTTTTCTTTTCTTTCTTTTTCCCGTGTCCCTGATATGTTGGTGCATATAAACAGTCCACAACCAAGTAACGCCTGGAATGTGCCAAACTTTGCGACGTTGGTGAAATAATGACCAATTACCAAAGGTACCACATAATTTCGAAAATATAGATTAACAGGTGCGGTCACTAAACTATAACGCCAATTAATATATATGTCTACTAATTGTTATAGAACACGATCAAATGGATGCGAGGCACGCACACCTGAAATGCCTGATACCACTATGCCCCGAATTCCACGAGTACGAGGTATCAGACATTTGGGATGGGGCACCTGAAACTAATAAAAACAATCAAGAAGAAACAGTAGCCATTTTGTATTCCTATTTATATAAAGTCCTATAGTGTCTCTTGGCACCAAATCACGCACTTCATATGCATTTTCTAGCACATTCCAGTGTAGGTGTATCCCAATAGGATTTTAAAGTATAAAACGCTTTTGAACGGAGTCCCCTAATCTCAACAATTATCCGCACGTCCGTGTGGACGGATGGGAAAAGGTAGGGAGGAAATCGACATCACGTCACCTAAACATCAATTAAGTTTCATCGCAAAATTTAGTGGGGAAATTGATGCCACGTGAAATGTGCACGAAGCCCGTTTCCTTGCTAAGTTGATTGAAAAAAGAAATTACGTCACGTGATCGTGACGTAACGACGTGACGTGACGTGACTACACACCGATTCAGTTTCCTGGCTAAATTTAGCAGGAAAATTGATGTATATAACGAACGCCCATTCTCCGCCCAAATGCAGAGGTGTCCGAACCAGACGCTAAATCTTCAGAACTAACATTTTTCTTATTCAAAAGTTTTAAGTGATTTTCTGAAATTTTATACGGGAAAATGGCGGCCGACGGAGCTCTGAAAAACGGGCAAAAACGGGTCCCATGCATGAGATAACGATTCAGTCTGAAACTTTGGCATCTGGATCGCATGCCAATGTTTCAGGGCGTTCGGCGTTGCATAGTTTATAGTTGTGGAGTTGTGATGATATATATATATATATATCAGGGTGTCGAACCGGAACCGAACCGAACCGAAAACCGGAACCAAACCGGTATTTTTTCCGGAACTGAACCCGAACCCGAACCGTTATATTGTTCCATAATGAACCTGAGACGAAGGAAAAATAAAAAAACGGACAGTACAACGAAGTACAACGAAGTACAACGATAGAGACTTCGTTGTACTGTCCGTTTTTTTTATTTTTCCTTCGTCTCAGGTTTATTATGGATACCATTCACCAGCTCGCCTGTGTTTTTTACCTTTCTTCACTCGTTATATTGTTATCGCGATGAACCCGAACCGGAACTGAACCGGAAAAAATATAACGGTTACCGGCTCATGTCAAAACGGTTCGGCCACGCGCTGTTGACAATGAATGTGCTATCAATGCCATTTGTTTTTTAAGTGCCGTCAACTGACACACACCTCGCTTAGATATTTTTCTTCTCCACTCAGTCTTAGGAATATAAACGCTGCATCCATGAATCTTGACAAACTCTCCATCCATGAATTTTGACATAAGAACCAATATTGCGCTGGTCGCGGCTTGCACGGAAGAAAGAGAATTAAAAGGCTGTGCAAAAGAAAAAAGAAAAAAAAATCGCGTCACGGGATTTTATTTTCCTACAATCTCGTAAATCCTAAATGCTGCTGTGTGCTCATTTCACAACACGCTTCTACAACGCGCGAGTTCTTGAAGCTTGCTTCCATCGGAATGAGAAAAGAAAAGGCTGTGGAGTTTGATAATAATGCATCCGGTTTCGTATAGGCACTTAGAAGCTAACATATTTGTGAGACAGCGAACTCTTCTATTTTAATATTTATCCTATTGATGCCACGTCCCACGTGGCGTTGCGTTCGGTGAAGTGTTTTTCATATTCCGTATCTTGTTTAATGAAAACTTCTTCAAGGATCTAATTTGAGTTACCGAAGGCTAGTTCAAATAAAGAAAGCTGTATTTTCTCCCCACTGTTCCTTCAATTGCTTACACGCCGAGGTGGCGGGATAGTTAGCGAGTTCTACTTGTAAGTGGTTTTGTAAGGAGGTCGCGGATTTTACAGCTACTGCGTCGGACCCAATTAGATGAAGTCCGAATGCGTAAACGTCGGTGAGGTAACCTTTGAGCGCACATAAAGAAACCATTCCTGGTAGAAATCCCTGAGCCTTACACTACGATGTATCCCGTTTCGTATGCGCTGATTTCAGATGTTTTATTTGTAATTTATTTTGATGTTGCAATTTGTCATTTATAATTTCCGAACCGGTTCGCTAACCGGTTCAGCGCCCCCGAACCGGTTCGCGAACCGGTTCGCGGACCGAATTAATCGAACCGGAACTGAACCGGAACAAAATAAATTTACCTGAACCTCAACCGTAACCGAACCCGTATTTTTTTCGGTTCGACACACTGATATATATATATATATATACATACACTGTGCAGTTTTTGGATGACCCTGTGGAGTCCTCCGCACTCCCAGAAACGATTGCCTTCTAAGCCAAATTAAAGTTGAAAAAAAAAAAAAACACTGGCCAATAAAATTTCCTAAAATTCAAAATTTTGAAGTCACGATGGCAAAATAAAAAAAGCAAGGAAAAAGAAAAAAAAACGGGTTTTAATTAATTCGATTAAAGTACAGGGTAAGTGGTCCTGACTCCCGAGGAGGGGTCACCACAGTTTTTCTTTTAAATATTTTTTCTTTATCTCGTCAAGATTCATTCAGGACAACGAGGTGATGATATTTCTGGGGTCGACAAAAGCCGTCGTTTAGGTTTCCAGTTGGGACCATACTTTTGTAACAGTGGAAGCTGTGAACCCGTAGACTTCAACGAAAGGGGAGGGCGGCTGAGGCTTCCACGGTTCCCAGCAACTTCGTCCAGGAGTTGAGTTATTTCGAAATATTGCCAATCGCAGGCCTTCCTAATGGCAATGGCGCCAACGTCAAATGCAGCTGCAGAAATATCATTCGGTAAATTGCGTTTTGATGAATCTATAGAGGACGTTTCTGGCCGGACTAATATCTTGTTGTCCAATTTAAAAAAAAAAAATATAGGAACACAGTAAAATTGAACTCTGAATTTCGGAGAATTGGAAATCTAACGAAAATAAACTCCGACAAATTCCAAATATTCACAAAAAAAAAAAGAGAGATTAATTCCAAAAAACACTTTCTGAATTAAACAAAACTTCGAATATTTCTGCTGCCAATATTTCGCACTCATTTTGACCAAACTCTTCGTTTCCCCACACAACATTTAAGCTGGATCAATATCTATTTCTTCTTAATTCATTCATTGATGCTACTGTCCATTGTTGAGAACAGTTAGGAAGGGAAAATACACGATAATACTGAAACAAATACATGGTCAAATAGGTAAACAATCTAACTTGCAATAGGATGACATGCCACAAATGTGTTGGAGATGCAAACACTTCGTAAAAAAATGCAAACAAAAGTGGATAAAAGAAAAACAAAGTTAGTATTCACTGAATGTTGAGGTGTTTTCTTACAAAGTTTAGGAATGAGGTTAAAGAATTAAAGTTTATTATTTTAGTGGGTAGGAACTTATTTCATGTCTTGCAAGGTGCGAGAAAAAAATGTATATTCGAATACGTTGTTACGTGGCAATGGCTCTACAATATATACTACTCCTGTTGGCTACGCGTCATGGAACGCTCAACAAATTATATGCATTTCTCCCTATGTATGTTGATCATGCCGTTAATTATCTGGTACAGTAATTTCAGCCTGTTAAAAGTATTTTTAGCACAAAGGGTTGGTAGCTCTGCTCTATCAAGAAAGTCGTTGACTGAGACTAACCTAGCTAGCACATTGCTCGTAAATAAAACTAACAGTTCTCGTTTTACCATTTTTAACCTATTGAAATTCGTTTTGGTTTAGGGATCCCAAATTATACTTGCGTATTCCGGGATAGGAACCACAACAAATTTAGTATGCTAACAGTTCAGTATCGGGAATCGCCTATCGCAATTTGTGCCTCAAAAAGAACCATTATTTTCTAGAAGCTTTATCTATAGTAGTCCTAGTTTAGATTGTGTGTAATACGTAGGCCCAAATAACTATATTCTTCGACCCGGGACAGTGCCTGTGTGCCTACGTATAGTATGCAAACGGAGAAGGCTGCTTCTTATGGACCACTTTGATATCTCCTGAAGGCTATGATTTAGTATGAGATGATCATCTTTACATCTGATTTCATGGTATAAAATGCAGTAGTATGTATATAATCTTAAATTCTCATTAACATTGACAGCTATTTCATTGATAAATAACAAGAAAAGCAGCGGCCCCACAACCGACCCCTGTGGTACCCCGGATTTCAAATTTGTAATAGGAGACGGAGTCTGGTTAAACATTCCCGTACTGCATCCCGCCCACCAGAAAACATTGGACACAGCTTACAATCCGATCGTTTCTAAACATCGCGTGTAGCTTTAACCGAAGTTTTGAATTAGAAACCTTATAAAAAAAAATTGGGAAAAGTCAAGTTAGATTAAATTAACCTGACCTGGGCGATAACTATTTGAAGAAAAATCGTGCACTGTTTCTTTTGGA